TAACTTATGTAACCAATTCTCTATCGCTGGATATGATTTCACTTCAGCTTTTCTTCCCCCCATTGTAAACAGTGCTGTGTAAATGCCCTGATGAGTACATCTTTTGAACTGATTGTTTTTTCTAAACGAAACGATTCCTAGAAGTGGAGTTGAGTTTGTGTGTATGCACATTTCTTAGAGTATACATATCCATTGACATGTCGTCCTCTGAAAAATTCGCTCATGGTTTGTTCTCCCACAGATGGACACTAACTAGAATATCTTTGAAAAATATTTGGCAATATGATTAGCCAAAGTGCTTTCTCATTGTTTTAGTTTGCATTTGATGACCAGTGAGGTATTGAGCATTTTTCTCTCATTAGCCATCTGAGTTTTAATTAGTGAGTTATCCCTTTTGTTCTATGCACACATTAAAGTGAGGGAGCTTCTGGTTGCTTTGTGACAGCTCTTTGTATGTTATGAAAATTAACCCCTTGTCTTCATCAATATGTATCACTGAGCTCTTCCTTGTCATTACTTGCCTTTCATTTTGTTGAGTAGGTTTATCTTTGTTGTGGCCCAAAACATTCTTAAGATTGTAAATGTCTACCTTTTGGGTTTATCTTTGGTATTATTCTTAGAAATACTTTTTATAGTGGTATAAATCTCTTCTGTAGGTTTTTTAATCTCTAAGTTGAGATGATATTGTACTTGTTATCGTGAGGAGAAGCTGAATTAATAGGAGCAAAGGGTTGTATTTGCTGTTATTAGCACTTTCTAATATTTACATCACTTTCTGTAATTTTTCTTGTGGTCATTATAACAGGAATAGAATTTGTTCTTTCCAGGTGATTCTCTGATTGTCCCAAGACAATTATTGAATTCATACTTTGCTCTTTGATTTGAAATCCCACCTGTACAAAATACTTATGTACACAACAGTCTCTTTTTGAGCTAATGATTTATTTCTGTCAAGCTTACTTTCTTTCTCCAGCACTATATCTTATATATTGTAAAAATTTATTTAATATCTGACAGTGCAATTTTTTTGATTACTTTCTTCCATCCCAAATTTTCTTCGCTACTATTATGAATTTATTATTCCTGAAGAATTCTAAAATACTTTGTTCCATTTAAAAAAAACAGATAATAGATTTCATGGGATTTTTTAGTAAGCTTTGAATTATCTTTAGGAGAACTTACATCTTTACAAAACAGCTTTCCTCCATGCAATATGTTGATGTCTCTACATTCACACCTCTTACTTTACCCCTCAGTACAGTCCTGTAGTTTTCTCCATGTTGAACATGGACATTAATTCTGAGTTTATATCAGATTATTGTTGAAGTTTTTGTTAATTTTGTAAGTGAGAAATTTTTGCTATTATATTTTTTAACTGTTTAATCTGACACCTAGGAAGGCAGATTTGGTTTGTAAATACTCACTTTGTAGCTTTTCATTTAAAATTGTAAGTATTAATTTCTTGTTCCAGAATCCTTTCTTTTGTGTTTTTAAAAATTTGTCTCCAAGATTATCAGAATGGTCATAGCTAAGTAGTATAGGTGGGGAGACAGATGGAGAGAGGTAGTGTGGCTCATGTACAAACTGTGAGCATTTTCATGGCTGCCTTTAGGCTGGAGAGGCCTCAGAAGAGCCCAGGTTAGACAAGGGATTGCTTTGTATGCACTTGAAAGCCAGCTTTCCTGCCTGTATGGTGAAGCCTGGTGGGCGTGTCAGGTAGATGATCAAGGTCCAATTAAGGTCATTGGATGCACAGAGCGCTGTGTCTGTGAGAACTGGAGACCATCGCCATGGGAAATGCTTCATGCCAGGAACACTGCAGGGGAGCTAGGGAGCCTGTGTGAAGGATTTTCCAGCCCTGGGTGTGGGAAGATCAGACTCTGCATTCAGATCTGAGTTTGAATTCATCCTCACTTGTTTACTGGTTCTCTGACTTTTGTCAAGTTAAATACTCTCTTTGAAATCCTATTTCCTTGTCTCTCAAAACAGGAAAATTATGGCCTGCTGCTAGAGTATTTGATCAGTGTAAATGATTTGTGTTATAAGATGCCACATACAGTCTCAATCTCAGTGAGAAATGAGCTATCGCCTCTTCTTCTGCAACTCAGTGCTCGACAAGACATGGGGGAAAGCCAGTTCTCAATTTGTGTGTGATGCAATTAGGAACAAAATTAATGTCTTGCCTTTCCCTAGCAGTATTCGTACTCCTTTGCTTCATTTACTTCTTTCCTCCTTTCCTTTCCCTTTTCCCCTACCCCACCAAAAGAGCCTGAGAATCTCTCAGAACATTAGATTCAAATTACTTTAAAGGTTGGCTCATCCTCATGAAATGACAATAACACAAAAAAATCTGTACACATCCCAGAATTCATTGTGTTTGATTTGCACACACACACACACACACACACACACACACAATCAGCCTACTTCCCACTTGCTGAGGGAGAAGGACCACTTTTTCTAAGTTTTTATTCAGTGGCCGTGAGAGAAAAGTCTCTTACGCAGACTTTCCCCTGCTTTGTGCATGTTGTTTTTAATTGGATTTCTGCTTTGTGGCCATAGTAATATTCTCCTAATAGAAGAGAGGAAGTGGAGACATATACATTCTGCTGAGATATTGGTGTCATCATATTTGAGTTGGAAAGGTCTGACAAAAGCATAGAGTCATAACTTTTTATGGGTGAGAATCCATGATGGTGTAACTTGGGCAAAAGCCTGGGTCTCCTGCCATCGTGTCCAAGCGGGTGAAGAGGCAACTGGCCATGGGATGGTAGGAATCCTTGTTGCTTGATTTCCAGGGTCTTGCTAGTTTTCATTTCTCAGCTGCCTTTAGTTTATGTCCATGAGTCCTCTCATGGAAAGGTCACTCTGTCCTGATAGACTGAGTTTCTAATCAGCAAAAAGGTGTGGACCCACTCATATTTCCCAGAGTTTTTCTGCTGACCAGCTAACACTTTATATAAATGATACCTAAGAAACTACTTAATATGAAATCCTTATTGTTATCGTTTGCCCTCGAGTTCCATAGGAATGGGGTGCTGTCTCAGGCTAAGGCTAGGTCTGAACAAAGATAGGGTGATAGGCTGTGCTGCTGGACCCTCCCCAGTCGAATGGGATTTCCACCTTAGTTTTTAGAATCAGGTAGATGAGTTCAAATCTTGCCTTTACCAGTTATTAGCTTTGTGACCTTTGGGAAATAACTGTACTTATTTGTGTCCAAATTTCGTTGTCCGTAAGTAAGTTCAGTATTTATTTTAAGATTTTTGTTACAGAATTGAATGAGCTAATTCCCTCATTTATACCTAAAATACTGATCGCGTGGTTCTATGCTGGTGCCTTGGTAGTTGATTAATAAGGGACTTGCCAGTGAGAATGGGGGTGGGAGACCCCTTGATAATAGAGCTTATATTCCAGGATATGCTTGTAAAAGACTGGATGTGCAGTGGATTTTTAGTAAATATCCATTCCTTTCCTAATCCACATTGATTGTTTATATAGCTTTATAGTAATATATGAACAATTGTTTATTCCAATTTGAATCATTGTAGTATTTAAAATATGTAGCTATAACAAAAATAAATGAAATAAAATGATTTGAGTTTTATTTTCTTTTCAATTATCAAAACAAAATAAAATAGAATAGAAAAGAAAGTTTTGAAAGAGTAGAAATAATTTTATTTCCGTGGAATCAATTCCCTATGATAAGTTTTTTGGTTGTGTTGTTAAACAGTTTATATAATTGATAGGTTGTGACATATTGGAAATGAGGAAACAGTGGAGACATACTACCTATAATGCAGTCATTTTGTTACCAAGTCCAAACTCGTTCTGCTTGCTTAATGACAGGACAATAAATCGGGAGATGAGGTGTTGGAGCAAGAAATTGTGACTTTATGTGAAAAGCTGTAGACCCAGAAGATGGCATACTGATTTCCTGGTGAACCCTCTTCCCCAAGTAAGAATTCAGTCTCCTTTTATACTAAAAAGTGGCGGGTGTGTGGTTGGTTGTTGCAAACTTCTTGCTGTATGAATTGTTTATCCTTGGAATCCTTTGTTCTTGAAGCTGTCCATGTGGGTCAAATCATGGTTCCCCTGTAATACCTCCAAAAAAAAAGTTTATTCTCTATTTTGAAACTAGCCATCTCTTCATAAGTGTAGAAGATCTAATATCCTTAAAGATCAGAGCCCGGAGAATAGGCCTTCCTGGATATTTCAGGCTAAAGGCAACTTTCTTTTACAAAAGGTGCAGAGCTAGGAAGTCTGAGCCTATAAAACAGGGCACAGGTTTAAAGCCAAACGAACACATCTAACGCGGAGTCAAATTTGTTCTTTTCTATTGCAATTTCTTTTTCCACCTCATAAATAATTTTAGTAAGAAATATGAACTTTTTATTATTTTTGCTTCTTAATAACGGATAAGTGGGCCAACTAGAGTTTTGTGAGCAGGGATGCTGTGCGGGACTTGGGGTCCCAGCAAACTCTTGTTGGGGTAGTCGACCCTGCAACATGTCTGATGCCCCGTGAGTATTGCTGAGTGTCCCCCTAACCAGGGGCTCTCTTCAGGAACCAGCATATGGGCAGTGACCTCTGGGGACCTCTTTTTAAGGTGCAGGAAATTTTTTCAGTTACTGTGATTGAAAATTCACTCCAGCTGGGGATAATTAGGGACTAAAGGAAGAGGAAAAGTGTTTGGAGTAAAGTAGAAGAGAAGAACAGAATATCAGGGAGCCTGGGGGCTTGGCAGCGCAGCCTCGGGAGAGAGAGGAGCAGAGGTGGGAAGGGGTCCGGCTCTAGAACCAGCCCCTGCACCTTTCCCTGTGCCCAAGACACTGAGCTCTTAATTGGCCCAGGATGCTCTCCTGTCTGGATGTCACCCTGGGCAGAACCTTGAAAATCGAAGGTAAGTGGTGGGCAGCACTCTCCTAGGGGTCACTGAGGACTTTGGTCAAGTCCACAATGCCTTTTCTGGTCATGTGTCTTCACTTGCCCTTTACTTTAGGATCTGATAAGCAGGAGCAAGGAACTCAGGGAGAGATCCAGGAAGACATCTGACTGTGTTAAGAGACGAAAGTCACAGCGACACGGGGAGCAAAGACACTTGCAGCAAAGTAAAATGATTTCACAACTATTGCATCAGAGCTGCATGTGTGAGAGAGCCTAAGCCTGTCTCAGAGTGCAGGGGGCAAGAGGAAAGGAATGGTAACATTAAAACTGACAATTGAAATTTTG